AATGTATGTTGTAATTTTTTATAGTGCAAAATTTCTTGGCTTTTAGTAGAAAAATTACAAATTCAGAGGAAAGAACAATAGAATCTTATGGAAAAAGTGACAGAGGGCAAGAACGGCAATGTCAGCCTCTGTGCAAATTAGAAACTTGACATCAGTATGTTGAAAACCTGTCACAATTACAGCATAAACTTTTCTAGTAAAGACTTTACTGCCATCTCCTGGAAAACTGTCAGAAAATTGCACAAATCGGTGTCATTCTTTTATTATACATCATTTGCACAACTATACAATTCAAAGTAGAAACCAACATTTGGTTCAACTCATATATTAGACACTGTGCTGGACATTTATCATCTACTCTGAAAAACTAGCATATAAAACAGTAATTTTTACTCCCAAATTTTATAGGTGAAAATATTAGAACTCCTGGGACAGGGAAGAAGAGAAGAGTGCATGACCAGGAAAGGATACATGGAAGCTAAATCTGTACTGGTAATGGATATTTAACCTGGGTGGTAGATTTATGGGTGTTAGTTTTCTTTATAATTTGGTACATGTCAAAAATGTTTTACAGTAACAACTCAAATCACTTTTGAAGATTTAAAAAGGTCAAGTAACTGATTCAAAAATCACCTAGCCAGATGAACTCTGACTAGAAGCAGAGGTATCTATAGTTCCTCTAGGCTGTCTCTGAGGTGGTTAAATTTACCACTGGGTCAGAGGAAGGCTATAAAGTCTATAAAGTACTTGTATACGTAGATGGATTCCAGAACCAAGAGGTTATCTTCTGCACTCTCATTACAAATCTGCCTTAGAGAAGAGTACGAATTCTGTATTATTCATACAAATGGCAGAAAGCAGAGATTTCAGCATATAAGTATACTAATTTGATCAGGACCACGGCTTAGCCTTTGGCTACTTATGATTTCACCAGGGCTCATTAAACACACACTTTAGTTTCATGTCGGTGCAGCCTTGCCTGTGGCTTTTAATTATAGTGGCAAACCTAAGGACAAGGTGCTAATGACCCATATTAGACATGTACATAAGGATTTACAATCCATTTACTTATTCTCCATATGTGCAAGGGAAGGTGACAGTGGAAGCAGGCGAGCCATGCATTTCTCTTTCATCCTGAGAGAGAATAGCTCTGTTTTTTGAAAAGACTTTTACAATAGACAAGATCAGTACACTTGTAAATTGGAAGATAGACTGTTACACAAAGAAATTCAGTACGCGTCCAACTGTTACCAGGGAAAAACTGTGTTCAGGGCGAGAGTAGCAATGGCGCTGGGGAAAGCAAGAAGAGACTTCAGATGGGTGGTGCATGATGAAGGCTCTTAGACTTAGTATCTGAGGGGACTGAGAAGACTTAAGCATAAGAGGCCCTGGAAAGGTAGCCTCTCTCACACAGACCAGGCACAATGCCTAGAGATGAAGCACAATGAAAGAGAAAACTGCCAGCACGGAGGCAGACAAGAACTGGTGATTATGAAGCAACTACTTAGAGCTAATTCTAATCTTGGGAGAGAATGTGCTGGTGGAAATTTGTAGGCAGTGGTGACCAAATTAGATTTTTCAGGGCATGCTCAAATGGTCAGGGCCAATTATGATCACATTTAACAACACCGAAGATGAAATTTCAAGAGAAAAAATTAAAATTCCCTAATCTGCTACTCAATTTCCAATTTTCTCTCCTTTACAATTATAGTAATTAGCCCTGGGGTTTTGTTTGTTGGTTTTGTTTTGTAGTACTCAGAACTGAACTTATGATCTTCACACTGAGCTCAATCCTTATTATAGTCTCAATTCTTATCATTTTTTTTTTATTGTGAGACAAGATCTCACTAAGTTAAACTTGCTAAATTTTTTTGCCTCAGCCTTCCAGGGTACTGGACATACAGGTGTGTGCCACCACATCCAGCTGAGTAATTAGCCTTGCTGGGAAGACCATTTTGCAAAGTATATTTTCTCTTTGGTAGACACACTATAACAACTTACTACTCCTCTCATATATACAATAGGAATAAATACATTAGAATTAGGTGGGCACGGTGGCACATATCTATAATCCCAACAGTTAAAAGGCTGAAGCAGGAGGGTCACTATGGATTTGAGGCCAGCCTGGGCTATGTAGTGTGTTCAAGGTGAGCTTTCTAAACTACATGGCAAGACCCTGTTTCAAAAAAAAAAAAAAAAAAAAAAAAAAAAGCAAAACAAAAAAGCATACAAAAGAATACATTAAAGTACATGTAAGTTGCATGGACATTTCAAATACATGATATTATACAATGCTTCTGTATATCTAAACCTTTCTTCTCAACCTCCAGTAACTTTTTAAATTCCAATATACTGTGCCATAAAACAGCATGCAGTGAACATTGAAAGGAAATTATAGAGTCTGCCAAAAAAATACATACATCAGGAAAGAAAGACTTGTACAAATATTTTAATATTAGATTTACTGAGACTAACACAAGTTAGCTTTGGCTTCTACTATTATAAGAGGTACTCAAAGTGGTGGCCATTAGTTTCCAGACATTTGTTAGTACAGCAAACTGTTGAAGCATGCACATATTTTTTTGGTGGACTCTGAAGAAATTGAGATACTAGCATTTCCTCTGGCTTCAAATTTTTTTTTAAACCTGTGGTTAAATGAGAAATAAATGGCAATTCAAATTTATCCTTACACATTTTTTACTCATTTGGTATTGATATAGTTGTAATCTTTTACCTGATTCTAGCCCTTTTGATATTTGTATTTTAGTTCATAAATACAGCATGTTCCTACAAACTAATCAGCGCACACAGTTCAGGTCCCCAAAGACTCTCTCTGTAAGTGGCCTCCAGGGCTGAGCCTCTTCCACAGAGGTTATGTTATTCACTGTACACCGGTCTCTCCTGCTAAAACAGTCTTCAAGAGTCTTTTATTCATTCACCACTCAAACTTCCTAAGAAACCAGGAGCAGAGCTAAAAAAGATCTCAGAAGACACCTTGCTCAGACATAAACAGTGGTCCTGAAGATGGAAGGACCTTTACCAGGCAGTATACTGTGAACTATGAGAAAGTTAAGACCAAGGACTAATCATCCAAAGGGCAGGGAAATTAGATTTATCAAGGGCCTAAAGGTGCTAGATTTGATATATACTTAATCCCAAGAAAAAAGTGGCCCCTAACCACTAGATGAAACCATTCATAAGTTACATGATCTGCCTAGTAACTAAGCACGTAAAAGGGTAGGACTTAAATGAGTCTTTTCAGCAATACAGGACTTCCTTCACTGTACCTCCGTATCAAAAACTCAGATTTTAGAGGTCCTTGACCAATCTCAATCCATCCCACTTAATATCTCCATCAACCCATTATTAAATTCAAATTATGTGAAAATTAAGCCATCTATCACACACGGTGTCGGTTAGAGAAGCATATTGCTCAGGCTGCAGGGACATTTCATTTATTTAAATGTTTTTATTTAAAAAAAAAAAAAAAAAAGACCTTCATGGCACAACTTCTTCCCAGCACAGGTATGTTTTAGTTATACCAATTACAATACAGTTACAACCAATAAATCAAAGGAGGAGGAACTTCTGACTTTAAACTTAAAAAAGAGGGGGGCCACTTCAAACAAAGTTAGAAAATACTTTATAAAACCTTCCAGAGTAACTGCCAGCACAGCTATTTCATATTGGCACTCCATTTCTTGCCTTCTAAGTAAGCAATGCAGACATAGGTAGTGCTGAGAAATAGTGTCCCAATACAAGGTATACAGATGAGGTAATTTACAACAACACAGAAGTTGTTACTCTGTAAACCCTTGGCCCCCTCCCTTTTTGGATCACTTAAAAACTCTCTCCATGCTTCTGCAGTGACCTTTTAGCATAAAAACAAAACAAAAAAACAACTCTTTATTTCAAAAGGCTCTTGGTGGCACTTCAGAGTCCTCTGCATTCACCTTTAGTTCTTCCAAGGTCTGATGGTATAAGTCCAGCATCCACATCAACCTCAGCTACACCTAGATTTCTGAGCTCCAAGACTGGAGTGTGAAATCCATCTACAACCCTCCTCCCCACCTCAAAAGAAAGACTTCATTAGTTATTAAGTGTCCTGTTCAAATCACAATCCAGTGCAAATGTAATCACAAATTGCATCTCTGGCACATCTGGTGCTTTTAGTGTCTGCACAAAGTTAATATGGTAACCCTCACAGCATTCTAGGGCATAATAAAAGAGTCAAGTACAATAAATAGTCACTGTAAGTGGCCTCAAGGAAGAAAATCACCCTGCCAATCAGAATGTTTTCTCTTTAGCGCTCCTTACAGTTGAGAAGCATTGTAAGAGGAGGCATTAGCTTCCTCTAAAGTTTACCTCTATATTCCCTAACGCCATTACCTTGATAAAGTTACTAAAATCAAGATGGGTTACAAAATTAGGTAAGTTCATTAAATGTAACTTCCAAAACAATTATGTTTAAATATGATGCCCAGGTGAGAAAGGCCTGTGAATCTATAAAGGTAGGAGCATGGGGAACTAAGATTTTAGGGCTTAAAATGTCGGAAGAATTTTTCCTAGTCCCCAGAAGCAGCTACTGTAATGAAATAACAGGAAAACTACAGAGCTGATGTTTTTACTATTGTGCTTAAAAAACTAGGCTTCTTCAGTGAAGCACCTGATAAACTTAGGTGGTTGGTTTACAGTGGAAAGTCCACTATATTATACACACACACAAACACACAAAAACTGGCAACTTTTTCCATCCCCAATCCCTGCACTGCTGAGACACAAAGTGAGTTTTATGGCAAAGGATCCTTAATCCCCAGAGACGCTTTGGCTTGTGGTGCTTTTTTAAGGCCTCTCTGCCCTGCCCGGTACCATGGGTCGAACGAAGGGTATATAAAAATGGGGGCCCTAGGAAGCCTCCATGGTACAGGGCTGCAGGCCCCTCAGATGTGAATGTGAGACACCCACCCAGCGAGACTTACACAGGGAACTTAAATCTAACCTTGATAAATAAAACCAAAAGTTTATTTACACCAAAGAATTCCAACACTGGATCTTTCACATATGATGGACAAAGTATATATATATACACATAGCAAAGGGTGGCAGGGCTGTAACAAGAGTTGATAAGTTTCCCACAATTACAAGTCTACCGTTTCCATTTCACAGGAGATAGTGGCTCTGTTCCTGCCTCTCAAGATACATTTACAAGACTAAGGAGCAGGTCTTCTCACTGGATGCCATGTGAGGAAAGATGAAGGTAGGAGGAAAAGAAGGTAGCTTAAAATGAAACCCAGTGTGGCTGCATCTCCCATTAACTCTTAAGATTGCTAGCATGAAACCTAATAGACAATGTTTCTTTTGTAAAAAAGCAGTAAGTTTTGCTCAGTAACTGACTCCAAGATGGCCAAGTCAAAGAAAACTGAAAAAGATTTTGCCTTCTCTCTCCTACCACTATGGAGCATAACATGTTGAGACATAAAAGGGGAAAAGACCACGGGTAGGAGCATCAGAGGGATATTATCACAATTTTAAACTAAACTGACATCAAAATTATAAGTGAGCTGAATTTACGGTTAGGTCAATAAAACATGATTCACATTGAACAAATGTTTTCAGAATCTGTCTGCCCTTTGGGTAGATTTAACATCTCCACAAAACTAAGACATGCTTTCACTACAGTCACCAGGGTAACCGCAATGAATCACTTATGGAACAAATGACTAGCAGTATACTGCTCTTACAGATTAGGTCTTCCCTGCCTCTTTTCCATCCTGCCTCCTTCCTTCCCACCTCCCTTGAGAAGCTACACTTTTGTAATCTCTGGAGAAGAGCACTAGATACAACCCCCTTCTCCCCCTAGTACAGGATGGTGGGGGAGCAATGGTAGGAATGGGAAATTTCCACCCAAATGCAGCAGCCAGGATTGAGGCTGGTTTTTTTGTTGTTCTTTAGTGATGAACTGAATTTGGAAGGGGAGAAAAAACATTTGTCCATGAAATATTCCACCTGCAGATAATCTTTCAGGGAATCCCCTGAGTTATGAAAAGTTCGAGTTTAAAAAAAAGGAAAAAAAAATCAGCCTATTATAATTTTTTATGACTGAACTATTATAAATCCACAAGCAACGGTTCAGACACGGTGCTTCTGAAGTGTTTCACCCTCCCCACCAGGCGCAAGCTGCATCAAGGAGAGGGTGGCCTTCCCCACCTCTGCTCAGGCATCAGGAGAAAAGATGGAGCCATTACTGCTGAGCGCCAGCGGCAGCTGGAACAGGCATCCCAAGGGGGTTGGCAGCAGCAATCACAGGCGAGCCTGCCAGAGGTCCGAGGGGTGACGGGGTTGGCACTGAAGAAATCCCTGAAAGAAAACAGCTATCAGTGAGCCAGAGACATCAACCACGGCAATTTTAGCTACCACTTTTTCATAGGCCTTATCTCAAAAATAACAATGAAAATTCATTTGTTATTCAGGTTTCTTCTCAGCCATACTTTAATACATACGTTTCCAGTATAACCCTTGTAAATTCAAGTTAAAATATTAAGTCCTACTGAATTTACCTTAGAGAGTTTAAGCAGTTTGTCAAATATACAGATAATAACTGGAGACTATACTTGGATTCCACCACAGGCCTGTCTAGGGCAGCACAGTACCACGCACTGCCTGCTCTGTAATCTGTGCTTTCTAACAGGGCCGCCACCAGACAGTCACACAGAACTACTGAGCACCTGCAATGTGGCTAGGGCAACTAAGGAACTCAATTTTTATACTTCCATCAATTTTAATTACATAGTCACTACAATACTGAAAAGCACAGGTCTGTGGTCAAAGCTCACATGCTTTTATGCCATGTCACCTTGATAACTGGCAGCTCTCAAAATTACAAGTTACTCTAAGTGAGAAAGATGTATTTTCCACCTCCAAGATGAAACTGTGCTTTGAAATTTATGTCTTGTGATTCCTTCTTCTTCTCTAGTTACCAGAACTACTTGTTAGCTTGCCTTTATTATTATTATTATTATTATTGTTATTATTATTATTTTGTCTTTTTCCTTTTTATCGGTACCGGGGATCGAACTCACGACTGCCTGCTTGCAAGGGAGGTGCTTATGCTGCTGAGCTAAATCCCCAGCCCCAGAACCAGCCTATTATTTAATTTTCAAAATGCTATACACAGAGTTATACAGTGTTGTATACCTGTTAAACCTAGCACTCTGGAAGGCTGAGGCAAGAGAATTGCAAATTTGAGCCCAGCCAGTATAACTGTTACTTAGTGAAATTTTATCTCAATCCCTCCCCAAGCCCATTGGGGGGGGGGGGGCTCCAATAATCCTCCTTATTGTGTTTCAGAATGCATAAAATTACAGATATACCATGTTGGGAGCCGCAGCCCCGAGCCCGGTCGCCTCACTTGGCGGACGTGAGGCCTGTAGTAAAGAGTGAAGCCTGAGGTAGATTGCCCCTCCCATCGAGCACGTTAGTTTCCTGCTCACCGCGTAAACAACCCGCTCAACAATATAGTCTGCCTGGCAACTGATGATGTTAGCCAATCAGCTTGCCTTGCTCACTTTAACATGATTGGACACTGTACCCGTATATATACCGGTGCCACCCCTGGGCGGAAGAAGAAGCCAGGTAGAAGCCCGGAGGTAGAAGCCCAAAAGGAGCCGCGGAGAGCGGACCGGTAGAGGCTTTGGGGCAGACTGAAGCACAAAAGGAGCCGCGGGGAGCGGACCAGAGGAGGCTTCAGCTGGGAGAACCCAGGGCAGGCTGTACGGAGAAGAAAAATAAAAAGAAAAGGTTGTCCACTACCAGACTTTGTCGTGTGTCCTTCCTGCCGGCCGGGAGCGGACATCGACATTTGGAGGCCCGCCCGGGGACTGATCACCCCCGCGACGTGGAAGTGGACAACGCTCCAGTACAGAGCTGCGAGACAGGTGAGTTGGGGATAAGCCTGGGCTCTGGGTGGCGCGCACCTACAGGGCTTTTAGACTCCCCTCAGGCTCACGCGTAAGTGGCGGATTCCTTGGGCCTCACGCGGTGAGTAACATATTAAAAGATGGGAAACATGCTAGGTAGCAGCACTAAGAGCGAGGGTGGTTGTGGAGAAAGCTCTCAAGAGCTTACAAAAGTACGCAGGGTATCTGAGCAGGCCCAGTCAGGGAGCTCCCGAGAGGTGTCTGTCAAGGGGAACAAGGATGCTAAGGAGGAGGACGGGGCTCTAGCCTCGGAGTCGTCTGACTCCGAGGACGAGGGAAAGTTGAATGGCAAGGAGGCCAAAGAGACCAGCTGTCAGGAGCCTAAATCGCTCAATAAGGAGTCGCAGGGTTCTTTTCCAGCGTTGCCCCGCGAATTGCGCTCTGCTCAACCTGGTCTGCGGAGGAGTAGAGAGCTCCTGAGCGCTCCCCGGCGCGAGAGGGAGGCGAAGCCTTCCGCCCCACCTTGGGGGCCGTTTCCGGAGGCGATTCCTCGCCACGAGGCGGCCGCCTGGGAGCTCTCTCCCCTTTCGCCAGAACAGGAAGTGATGCACGGGCCCCCATTTTCCGCCCAATCACGGCCGCTGTCTTATGCTCCGCCGCCGGTGGGTTGGTATTTTTACAGGCGGCTTTGGCAGGGGGGACGCTTGTCTCATGAGGTACATCCACCTGGGATAGATAGTGGCCCCTACGAGATATTTCCTGTACAAGTAGCTATGGGCCAGGGACGCAATGTATGGGAGCCTTTTGAGATAAAGCAGATTAGAGAACTTAAAAATGCAGTTACAACCTTTGGGCCGACTGCGCCTTACACCATTGCCATGCTGGAGAATCTGTCTTCTGGGCCCCTCACCCCCGCGGACTGGATTCAGCTGGCAAAGGCGTGTCTGCCCTCGGGCAGTTACCTGGATTGGCGAGCCTGGTATGCAGAGTTCTCTGCCGAGCAGGCTGAGAAAAACGCCGGTCGAGGAAAAAAGGGGCTGGGGATTTGGCTCAGCGGCATAAGCGCCTGCCTTGCAAGCAGCCAGTCATGAGTTCGATCCCTGGTACCACTAAAAAAAAAAAAAAAAAAAACGAAAAAGATAAAAATAAAAAATAAAAAATAAAAAACAAAAAGGGGGAGTAGGCCAAGGCCTGGCCCCAAAGGCACGATTATCCATGGCACTATTCACACACAATTTTTTAAATTTAAATAATGATAATCGCTCCCCAGCTGTGGAGCACTGCAACCCTTCCCCCAACCATAAAGGGTGGGTGAAGTGGAAAGATGTCCTGACATGACAATGGATGGGCCCGGATCCGGTAATCAGCTGGAACCGAGGCGCGGTTTGTGTTTTCCCACAGGAACCGGGACGAGAACCACTGTGGATACCGGAGAGACTGACACGGGCAACAAAGCCCTCGACTGAAGATCAGACCTGCCCTACTGGAGATCCATCACAGACCAACCAATAAGATGAATAGAAATAGCAGTAGCCCGAAATGGACAAGAAGATCCTCAGGCATATGCATGGCTTGCTCAATTGGCCCACGACCGAGTCTAGATATGGCGGGCATCCCTCATTCTCCTCCATAAGGTGACAATACACAGCAGGGTAGGTGAGTCAATGACGGGTAAGAGCGTGCCTCCCCAGCACGACTCGACCTAAGCCAGGCCCTACCCCATCCTGCACGTAAGCCGCTGGACTGTTAGATGCTGCCCAGGTCTAAATTTCTCTCCGAGGGGATTTCTTTACGGAGAGGAAATGAGTGCAAGCTTGTGTGCATCCAGGTTCCGTCCAGTTTGTGCCTGGCCCTAGAAAAAGGACGAGGGCCTCAGGGCCTTGGCAGACCATGGCATGGCCAACCAGGGTCTAAGCCAAGGACCTACGGTGGGCCTACGCATAGGGCATAAGCCTCTGCACCCAGTCCAGGAAGGGCTACGATGCGCACATTCATAAAAAATAAAATAGGGGGAGATGTTGGGAGCCGCAGCCCCGAGCCCGGTCGCCTCACTTGGCGGACGTGAGGCCTGTAGTAAAGAGTGAAGCCTGAGGTAGATTGCCCCTCCCATCGAGCACGTTAGTTTCCTGCTCACCGCGTAAACAACCCGCTCAACAATATAGTCTGCCTGGCAACTGATGATGTTAGCCAATCAGCTTGCCTTGCTCACTTTAACATGATTGGACACTGTACCCGTATATATACCGGTGCCACCCCTGGGCGGAAGAAGAAGCCAGGTAGAAGCCCGGAGGTAGAAGCCCAAAAGGAGCCGCGGAGAGCGGACCGGTAGAGGCTTTGGGGCAGACTGAAGCACAAAAGGAGCCGCGGGGAGCGGACCAGAGGAGGCTTCAGCTGGGAGAACCCAGGGCAGGCTGTACGGAGAAGGAAAATAAAAAGAAAAGGTTGTCCACTACCAGACTTTGTCGTGTGTCCTTCCTGCCGGCCGGGAGCGGACATCGACAATACCACACACTATATATATTATGCTTTTCTTATACATACATATGTATGATAAATCTTAATGTGCAAAGGAGACACAGTAAAAGATCAACAATACAGAATTAGAAACTGTATTGCAATGAAAATTATGGAAATATGTTCTTTCTTGAAATACTCAAGACAAATATTTTTGCACTGGGAATAATTAAAACTATCGTAATCTAATACATATTCACGTGATTTAAAATATAAAAGGTTCAAAGAATACCCAAAGAAAAATCTGGAGAATATTTCTGGGATATATTCTTCAAGAAGAATTTTGTGCATACAGAGGAATTTAATTTTATGAAAATATTAATGTAAAAATAATATAAAAGAATGTGATTATATTTACATACTCCTATTCTTGTATATGACTCTTCATTTCCTACTCCCATTTACATTATTTTAGAGCTCGAGCTCTAACAGCCCTGAACACTGACTCATCTTTTCTCTGATCACATCATATCCCACTGAAGGGGTTTGCCATAACCTATTGAACTAGTTCCCTACTGATTGCTGTTTTTAATGGTATGCTATTATAAATTACCTTGTGAATAACCTTGGCTATGTCATTTTGCACATAAGTACGATACTCAAGAGGATAAATTAATGGCAGTACTAAACGTGACCCCATGTGTACCTAGGAGGATGTTGTCTACATGTATAATTCCTCAATTTTATTTTGGAGGCCTACTCAACTGCTGTTATTCTCAACCGTGAAACAAAAGGATTTAATTTTTCACAGCTTCTTGGGACTTCAAGCACTTCTGTAAGAAACTTTTTGTTGGAATGCTGTGATTCTGATCTGAAAGAGACTGATGGTATTCTACTTAAAACAGTCTAACTAAAGTATACCAAGTGTCAAAAGCAACTTGAAATCTGGTGGGAAAAGCTACATAGGCCAGTATGTCACTGACGCCCGACAGAGAACTACACAAGAAATCAGGTCACGAAGAAGGGACAAAATTAAGAATAGTAACTGACTTCAACTCTTTTTTCTTTTTTTGAAAAAGGAATTTACCAAAGAACTGACCTGACATCATGTTGGCGCTGCTGACAGGTGTACTGCCCCCTGGCATGCTAGATGAACCCATTCGAGCCTGGTCCTTCACAACAGTATCTAGAAAAGAGAGAGGTTAGGCTCTGTTTTGCTTGAAAGATTAAACTAATTAGTCTGGGTGGCCTCAGAGTAGCTACCTTCAATCTTTTCATTCTATTTCTACTCAATTATTATTCCTGGAATTTACTATGGCAACTGCTTTCACCACAAATTACACTACCAGGACGAAACAGAAGTATCTTTCCTAAACAACTGGAAAGATCAATTCCAAAACTGAATGATAGGATGATGAAATAATTATCTGCAGTAGAGCTTATTTAAAATAAGGCTGATAGAAAACACCCACAGACACAGAACAAAAAAACAAAGCCAAGCAACAAAAAACAAATGAAGCTAGTCATGCTAGGTTTCAATGGAGATAATACAATCAATCTAATCAGTGCAAGACAGAGATTTATTATTGGAATGAACTTATTTTACTTATTATTTTGTTTTTTTTGAGAGGGTCTTGCTATGTAGTTGAGAGTAGCTTTGAACTTGCAGAGACCCTTCTGCCTCAGCGTCCTAAGTCCTGAGATTACAGGTGTGCATCATCACACCTGTCGCAGAGTGAATGATTTTAGTGGCTCACAGTTCAGCTGTTCAGAGCATGGTGCTGAGTAGGTCAAAGCCATAGGCCTGTGTAGGTTAGTGCTATGACCACAGACCTCACCTCACTCTCCACCCCAATCAGCCTGTCCATCTGCTTCATGTAAAGGAGACAGGGCAAAAGGATTCAGTCTAAAAACCATCCTATCAGTCCTCACGAATAATCTAGTGATGAAGCTGACATCACCACTGGGGTGAGGTAGGTCTAAGAGGCATTTCATCCAGATGGGAGTTTGTGAGCATAGTCAAGGTGTTCACACAAAACAGATATTTGTAGTCCGAAGATTGCTGCAAGTTCGAGGCTAGCCTATGCTACAGAGTAAATTCAAGACCAGCTTGAACCATGTAATGAAACCCTCTCAAAAAAGAGCTTGTGGAGTGGGGAGAGACATTTATAATCCTCACTGGCTCTAACTAATGATTACTAGTGACAGAACAGAAACAGATTTATTTAATTCAACTACTCCACACCAGACATTAGAAAATGTTGCCCACATAGAATTTCATAGGTAACAATCCTCTCAACAATTCTCTAAGCAGCTGATATTACTTTCTTTATGTGAAGAAACTGACTCAATGCAAGAGAGGCAATTTGGCAGTGAGCTAACAGGAGCTGTACTGCAATTCTAATCTATAGGACTCCAGGCTGGAGCTTTCTTCACATCACATTCTCCCTTACCTCATATAGTCTGCAGGGGAGTGGTGGGAGGGCTTTCCCAGGCTCTGAGGACTGGGAGGTTGGACTCACAGAAATAGGGATGCTCCATGGCTTCTCTTGCAGTGAGCCGTGACTGGTGGTCATATCGCAGCAGCTTATCCAGGAAATCCAAGGCCTCTGGGCTGACAAGGTGTTGGTTTTCACTGTGGACAAAGCGCTCCCATCGCTTACGAGAGTGTCTGTAAGGCCAAATGAAGGAATGAAAAATGGGCCACAGAAGCAGATAATCACAACACGTCATTCCTATACCATCTTCAGGAGCCCAGTGAACATCAAGGGGAGCTAAAACTCCAGCCAGTAATCTGTCCCACTCTGCCACAGAGGGAATGGGGGTCAAGAAAGCTAACTGGAAACTAAGAATTGAGCAATCTGGGTCCTCTCAATTTTAAGAACTGTAATTCATTGGTTACTTTATTGGATGTGATGTTTCTATGCAGTGGGACGGTCAGGTGGCTGAGCTAAACCAACCTCTTTCCTATCCACACATTCTTGACATCACTACCACTTGACTAGCAAAAGACTGCACTGGGAAAGTTCAGCTCCTGCTAAGTGGTTAACGTGTGTTAGTATTGTGTCTAGCCACTAACACGGGAATCATTTGTCTGCACTTTCTATTTCTTTCCTGGGGGAGGGATCTGACATTTACAGAAGCTAAATCAAGAGATTTTAAATTTCTGCCCATATAGGAGACTGAACCTAGAGGCCTGATCCTGAGCTATACCCCTAGTTGACCAGTCTAGGTTCAAACTTGGACTCTTCCTGGCTCATTTTTTTGAGTAGCTACAATTATAGGTGTATGCACTGTGCTTAGCTAAGATTCTGATCTTTCACTCAACAGTAAACCTTCTTTCAGTATCCACGTTTCATTAATTTTTCAGGAATCTTCTGACTACAATCCCCATTCTTGCCTGTTTAATACATCACCCTGCAACACCAGATACACTTTGCATTTTAGCCATATTGGCAAAGAGAATATGATTACATTGAGGACCCCAAATACTAGCTTATACCCATAGGGCTTACATCACAGATGTACAATTTTGTATTTATAACTTACCTGCCCAAGATATCATTGAAACGGGGATCTAATTCAATGTTGTATTTGTCAATATAGTCATATAAATCTTCTGTTCCCAGAACCTTGGCTATCCTCACCAACTAGTATTGAAGAAAGACAAAAACCCTCAAAACAATTTACATTACAGGATTAAATCAACAATTAATCATAAATGAATTAACAAAGGCATCATCATGCCTACAAATATGTTACCTCCTATCACTCTGAAATTCTGAGTGTCGCAGCAGATTTCCAAGTAAAATTCCTTTTAATGCATTATGAAGATATTATGAATAAACTTTTTTTATTATATGGTCCCTTCCCTCAAAACCCACATGAAGATGTCACTTCTTTTGGAAAGTTGCCTTCCATACCCACATTAACCACCACTGCAGCCTTCTTTTTTGTTATACTTCTGCTCTGACAATATTCCTTGTCTGTTTGACTCCCTTACAGACAGACTACAAACTATTTCAGAGGAAGAAGAAAAGACTACTCTTGAACTTCAGGTAATAGTCCTTGAATTATTAAAGATGACTATCGTGCTTAAAGGTAAGGTAACAAGATTGTCTATAAGGTTCTAGAACCTTTCAAGACTCTCCTCAATGAAGCAGTCCCTTAATACTGAAAGGGAAAATGGAGTTAGTCTTAAAAAATGTGATCTGTGGGGCTGGGGATTTAGTTCAGCGGCATAAGCGCCTGCCTTGCAAGCAGGCAGTCGTGAGTTTGATCCCTGGTACCGATAAAAAGGAAAAAAGACAAAAAAAAAAAAAAAAAAGCAATCTGTATTTCTATGAATATATAAACTCATTTATATACAGAGATTTTAAAGGATCACAGAAATATCATATAGAAACATGTTGAAGAATGTGTTAGGTTCTACAATAAGGCACTATTCTTTAGTATGGATGACATTCTATGATTGTTCATTTAAGTATTATTCTCTAAATTATTACCTGATCATAATTGTCATGCCCATGGAAAAACGGCTCCTTCCGGAAGATCATACTTGCCAGCATACAACCCAAACTCCACATATCCAAACTATAATCATACATCTACATTAAAAGAAATGCATAGTTATCATGTATGAATCCCTAGCTTGTCACTTCAAAATAAAAAATAACTTTTTGCTGGACACAGTGGCATATGCCTATAATCCTAGCACTCTGAGAAAGGAAGGTACGAGGATAACAAGTTGAAAGCCAGGAATGGTAGTACATATTTGTAATTCCAGCACTATGAAGGCGTAAGTAAGAGGACTTACAAGTTCAAGACTAGCCAGGGCAACACAGTGAGTTTAAGGCTAGCCTAGACTACAAAGCAAGATTCTGTCTCCAAAAAATATTCCATAAAAAACAAAAACAAACGAAAAAATTGTTTGTGGGAGTGCATTCCTATAGTCCCAGGACTTAGAGGCTGAGGCAGGCTTGCTGTGAGTTTTGAGGCCAGTTTGGGCTACACAGTGAGTTAAAGGTCAGCCATAGAGACACTCTATCTCATAACAACCACCACCAAACAAAATTAAATGAAAATAAATAAATAAAGTCAGTAAGTCAAAATATGAGTAACTCCATGTAGTTCTTTTCAGGCTTCTGTACATTCTTTCATCCAGTTTAAAAACAATCTATACATACTATATTGAACTGCTTTTTTTACTTACATAAGAAAATTCTGAATCTGTCAGCCTATGAAAAGCTTTTAATGGGTACAATTATTTTATAAATGCCGCAATTTAAGCTTTAAATTTTCCTATATTAGGACTGTTTTTGTTTGCCATTATTTTGAAGTAATGTAAGGAACATTTTTAAGTGCAAATTGTGTTTTTGTGCTTAGGGTTGCATTCTTTAGGCCCCAGAAATGGAAATCTTAGGACTATTTTGCTTATTTGGTTTTGGTTTTATGAAGCATAGTTTTGCTTTGTAGTTCAGAATGCTTTGAACTCTATGTAGTCCAGGTTGGCCTGAAACTCACAGAAATCCTTCTGCTTCAGCCTCCTGAGTGCTGGGATTACTGATGTGTATTTCCTCAACCTAGCAGACTTTTTTGAGACAAGCTCTTGCTGTGCAGTTCAGGCTGGCTGGTGGACTTTTAAGTTTTTAAAAACACTTGGTAAAATACATTACTAGTAATTATAAACAATTTTCTGTGGGGGGGGGGAGGAATCTTTTTATATTTAGGGTGCAATTTAGTAGATATATAAAGGAACAATTTGGGGTTTATTCTTAAACTTGGTTAAGGTTAGCTTGAAATTCAACCAGTTCTGGAATTTCTGATTAGAAAAAAGTATTTTGACCAGGGATTTAGCTCAGTGGCTCAAGTGTTTGCCTGGTAAGCACAAGGTTTTGAGTTTGATCCCTGGTACCAAAAACAAATAAATAAACATTTAAAAAATGTATTTTGGGTGTGCTTTTTCTCTTACGATCTGTTATGGCTGATACATTATGTCAACTTGAAATGCTTAGAAGTTTAAGAGACTCAGCAGGTAGCCTGGTTCCTTACTTTGTAAATATGCTTATCCTGTGCAAGGGAAGGGCACAGATATTTTGTGAGTGCTACACCCGCCTGGGGGTGAGGAGTGGGGTTGGTGGACTGTGTACAACATGAAGGAGGAAAAGAGGCTTGTTCTTGCTCCTCTTTTTGCTCTGGCTGCTGCCTTCAAGTGTCGTCCCAGTGCCATGCCACTTTGCTTTAGTGCCAGCTGATTATGGACTAAAACCTCCACAAACAGTGAGCTACATAAAACTTTTCTTTCTTCATTTTGAGTGTTGGGTGTTTTGTTCCAGCTACAAGAAAAAAGTAACCAAGACAGGATCAAATGCAGAATGATTTATATTCTACTGAAAAAATACAATGTAAATTGTGCTGGATGAAGTCATTTAGATATTACACTTCACATACAGTGAACAGCTATGAATGTATATAAAGGGCTTGCTTGAAAGTATAAAGTGACATTTTTGTAAGTTATGAGCAAAGTGAACACAGAACTGAAACTATATTTGCCCTTTTTCTTCTTACCTGATAATCTACAAGTAGCTCAGGCCCTTTGAAGTATCGAGAAGCAACTCGGACATTATATTCTTGACCAGGATGATAAAACTCAGCCAGACCCCAGTCTATTAGCCGCAGCTGAAAGAAAAAAAAAAAAAAGAGAGAGAGAGAAAAGAGAGAGACAGAATAAACCATAAACAGTTTTATCTTCTTCTAAGCTATTACCATTCTGGTATTAGAATACTCTGTAAACACACACAATCTCAATCTCAAAATGATTACAGGGGTGGGGTGGGGGAAGCAGCCAGCCAGCCATTAATTGGTTGTCTACAGTGTTTAAGGTAAAAATAAAATTTGTCAGCTTAATAGCCTTCTCCACAATCTAGTTCCTGAAATAGAGACTCACTGAAAGTTTTCATAAATTTCTTAAACTGTTCATTTCAATAAAAAGGTCCCTGCTATCCAATATCCTGTTATCTACTGGTGAACAGCTTCTTATTTTGGGGGATATGAATTTAAGTTAGCTCCTCAATGAAGTCTTTCTAATCATGCAAGTAGAATGAAAAAACTACTAGTTTTCTGAACCCTAGACATACTTCTTTAAAAGAACCTGCAGCTCATTATGGTGTATTTATTTTTACCTTTCTTTTTAAATTAAGTTTATCAATATACTTTAGATATATATAATGATCACATTCATCGTAAGGAATTTGTGTCTGTATATATCTTGTTTCTTTGATCTCATTCCATTACCCTTCCTTCAACACTTCTTCTTCTTCTATTTACAAAGCTTTATTTCCATTTTCCCCTCCTTTCCCTCTCACCCCTCTCTAGTTCAACTTTCCATTAATAAATGAGTTCTGTTCTTGCAGAACATTCATAGATCAGATTCATTTGTAATTCGATAAAGTGAGTCATGCAGCACATCTGTAAAAGTTTGCAACTCCAATGTTCATAAATTGGGGACTAACTCAAAACTCAACTTCTAATTTCTAGCAAACTCAACTCCACTCATATTATCCCCCTTGGTAAAGGTGATCTCAATCATTCTGACATTTAATTCAGATGAGAACAAGACTGCCAGGATTCTTGTTTCCTTCACAATTTTATCTGCCAGCAAATCCTGTTAGTGTTACTATACTCTTCATTATGTTTTTTTGTCTTTGCCTCTGCCAGTCTGACCATTACCATCATCTCTTCTGATTTAGTCAACAGGCTCTTGTCCTAACTGGTCTACTTAATTTCATTCTTGCCTCTTATTCTCTAGATAGCATCCAGAACAATCCTTTTAAAAAGCTGTTTTAAAATAATTATAGATTCATAGAAAGTTGCAAAAATAGAAGTTCTATGCACTCTTAGTTGCCCTCAATCACAATACTTAATATACTTACAGTACAAGAAAAAAAGGAAATAGACAATGGAAAAATTCATACTCATAACTCTGATTTTACTAATTTTACATACATGTGAATGTGTAGCACAATTTTATTCCACTATCAAATTGTATTCCACCATCACAGAATTCTTTCATCACCACATGCTATTCCTAGTAGTCTCTGTTGTCAATCAACATATCTTTATCAAGAGGAAAATGTTATATAAGTAAGATCATTAAATATCACTTTGTTTTTCTGAGACTGACTTATTCTGTATTCTAGACTTATTAGCAACCCTTCCCATGATGCCAGTTATTGGAAATCCCTGCAGTGGGCTTCAATCTCCTGCCTGGGTTATGGTGGATGGCAGGAAAGTAAAGAAAAGAAAGAGCAAGAGACAAAGTAGAGGGAGGCATAGCAGGATCTGGGATCACTCTTCAGCTAGAGAGCATTTTATTAGCCAATGCAGGAGAGAGAGTAAGGGTCTTTTCTCCTGGAATAGCATTGAGGAAGAGGCCAAATGGGCAAGTTTAACATCATAAAGGAAATAGGCCAGGATTCATCGGCATGCCTGGGTGCTAATCTCACTGACCAGGAGGAAGACAATTTCTGCATTCCAAAACCAGTCATGAGGCAGGCAGGGCAAGGACAGTCTAGGACATACTACGTCAATTTATGATTTGTGGTCCCCAACAGACTGGCCTTGAATTCATGGTGACCCTCCTTAACTCAGCTGCCCAAGTGTTGGGATCACAGATGTGTGCGATTAACATATAATTTTTGGTACAGTTTTGTTTTTTTTTTTTTTCAATTACCATAAGATCATTCAAGTGTTCACATGAAACGGTTCTTTCCTTTTATTACCGAGTGATATTCAAACACTTAATACATGGTAGGGATACAACCATTCATCTACTGAAAACTATATCTTTCCTCTTTCAAAGCAGGAAAGGATCCTGCTTTGCAGTTCAGGATGGCCTCAATCAATTTGGAGTGATCCTCCTGGTTCAGCCTCCCCAAGTGCTGAGATTGCTGGCATGGAACATCATGCCTGACAGTATTTCTTCTCAATTTTTGAGCTATTAGAAATAAAGCTCCAATCACATTTATTGGTTTTTTGTGTGGAACCAAGTTTCAGGTAAACGACACATTATACAGTAAGCATAACTTTAGATTCTTATGAAATTGGCAAACTATGAAATTTTGCCATTATCTAAAAGGCCAAAAGTTTCACATTCTCACCAGCTATGTTACAAAATTTCATTGATCCTCTCCAACACCTGGTATTGTCATTTTTTTTTTAATTTTAATGAAGTGAAATAGTGAGAATATGCTAACTGTTCTCAGATCCTTCAAAAGTTTCAGAGGTCTGACAACAACCTGTAAGTGTTTACATGATTTGGTTTTTTTCACCTCTTTGACCTCCCTTCCTGCTCCTTTCCCTTCATTCTATCCCTGTTGCTATTCCAACATCCTAGTCTGCAATATTATCATGTATTTATATTCTGATTTTTTATCCTGGCTTATAATTTCCATGGCACCTGTTATACCGTAAATGTCTAAAATTATAAGGATATCTTTTGTAAAGTATGTGACTTTTTGGCCTTGGTTCCTGAAACAGGTTTAGAATAATAAAAGCAAAGACAGCAATTCTAGGAACTTTAAGCTTCAGCAAAATTTCTTCCTCTGTCCTCCTTTTCCATGTTTTTCTCCCAAAACAGACGACCGAGTAGAATCTGTTTTCCCTAAATTGGATCATAGAAACTGAATGTGTAGGGGCTGGGGATTTAGCTCAGCGGCATAAGCGCCTGCCTTGCAAGCAGGCAGTCGTGAGTTCAATCCCTGGTACCAGTAAAAATGAAAAAGACAAAAAAAAAAAAAAAAAAAAAAAAAAAAAAAGAAACTGAATGTGTTTGAAACTGGTCACCATTATAAGACTCCCCTATTTTAGAAGTTGTCCTGTGCTTAGGTCTAATCCAGGAGTAGGTTGTGAGAACTCTAAATTATAGCCTATTAGTCAGAATCTAGGCTATTCTGAGAGGAATGCTACACAAAGAAGTCAAAAAGAAACTGAACACACAAACCTTAGTGAATTTCTCCACTCAGTCTATTAGCATTAGGTCAGATCCTTGCTGTTAAATCACTCTGGTGCATGGTTGTACATGTTGCAATCAGTTATGCAATGAAATCTCCATAAAAACCCAGAAGGACAGAGTTTAGTGAGTTTCTGAGTAGCCAAACATGTGGAGGATACAAGATGGTGGTGCACCTAGAGATGGCATGGAAGTCTCTCTGCCTTTCCTACATGTCTTGTTGTATGCAACCTTTTCATCTACATCTTTCACAGTATCCTTTCAAATAATCTCGTAACTGTGTTTTAGGTTCTAGCCACTTTGGCATGTGAACTGAACCCAAGGAGTTAAGTTGTAGTAACTCCAAATTACAGCAGGTGCTTGCAGGGTATGTGGGTGGAGTGGGAGATTGTGCACCAGAGCACCAGTCCTGGGATCTAATGCTATCTCCAGGTAAACAGAGCCAGAGCCCAATTAAATTAGCGACATCTAGTTGGAATTTTCTGCTATTGAATTAACCACTGACTTACTAGCAAGGATGAATTCTCATCTTTGGGGGTCCCAGAATTGACTTGAGCTGTGACTATATACTAGGACTAACTGAATTTAATTGGTTTCCCTTCTGTTCATTCACACAAGCACACATTCTTACCTTAGGGCTTTTGTAGTTGGTATTTCCTTTGCCTGTGAGATGTTTCTTTTTGATACCACAGGCCCAGACCCCCGTTAGCATTCTCTAAAAATACCACCTTCCCAATGAAACCTTGCTTCACCCCTTATTTTAAAACGGAAACACTCTTGCCATTTCCTATTCTCTTATTTATGTTCCATATCACTTTAAACTTTCTATCTTAACCAGCCACCCACAGGATAACTTCTTTATGGATAAGCATTTTTTAATCTGCTTTGTTCACCTGAAGGCAAATGAGTAGAAGTTTCTAAGGAACCTAGTTATTCAGTAAGTTAAGAAAAGCCTCATTTTCTGGCCTACACAAATACTTTTGTGCATTATACAAATGTTTCCTTGACAGCATTCTCAGAAATATAAATAATGATTTAACTCATTCGTTAGAGGTAAGTGTCAAAGATGGGTTTTACTGCATCATAAAGATAAAATCAAATTTGTCAGTCTGTTACTTTACCTTTCTGTGCTCATGATCAATCATGACATTATGGGGCTTCACATCTCTGTGCATAATTCCCATGCTGTGACAATAATCCAAGGCCTATGAGAAAAAAGGTAAGAAAGAAAAAAGCCTGCAGAAGGGTGATTTATTTTTTTATAGTCCCAACTTTTTATTCCATGTATATATTCATTTTGGCTCACAACAATCCTGGGAATCAGGATCGGGACCATCACTCCCACAGCTATTTTTTTAAGAATTTGTTCAGGGTCTCAAAGTCAAGCAAACTCAGGTCTCTGAATCTCAAATTCTGTTCTTTTTTTAAAACAAGGGACCGCAGTCACAACCTTGTACTTGCCAGGAAGGAACTTGTGCCACTGAGCTAAATCCCTGGCCCTCAAATTCTTTATATACCAATTGAACCAGTTCTAATTTCCCCCTCTTATTCAAAGGCTAGATTATCTTTATAAACATAGCCTCTCAAAATATTTGAAGAACAGTAATTCTTCAGAGGCTAAGACTATACAATAGAGGTTGAGAAACTATAACCATGGGTTATATCTAGTCTGCTGTCCTTTTTTTGTGAATAAGGCTTTACTGACCACAGTCAGCTTACTTATTTGCATATGAGCCATGGCTGCTTCGGTGCTGTAACAGCAAAGGAGAGAATACTATGATGAAGATACCCTCGGCTCACAAAGCTTAAAAGTACTGTTTGGTCCCACTGAGGTCTTCATCGGATTTAAAAAGTTGTTAACCTCAAATTAAGGTGAACTCTGTGACATAACTTTTGGTTTGTTAATCCTGGCCTTTGAGTCAACTGATGCCATTAGCCAAGTTTCTGACCTTCCTCAAGGGCAACTTGAATTCCTGCAGTTGGCAAAGTTAAGCAGACATATCTGTAACTTTCTCAAACTCTGCTTGGCACAATGCTGCATGAGCAAATGGAAAGGTGAAGTATCTATACTAGTACAATTTGTTTTCAGTAACTTCTAAGGCTTACGTAACAGGCTTGATGTGAACCCTTGTTTAATAAGAAACCTTAGCCAGCTCCTAGCAATTCTTGCCTATATAGAGCTCATGTTGTAACTACTAGGAGCAAGATACATTTGGTGATCCCATCTTAGAAATCAAAGTTCACTTTCAATCAGTACTTCCTAAGCAGAGATTTACACAATCCTTAGGACAATAACCCTTTAAAGGCTAAATTAAAGTTTGTAGTTTTACTTGTTGGATCTTTTTAAAATAAAGTACACTAGAAACCATCAGATCAAGAGCTATTTTTTTAAGTTTTGACAGTATCACTTACACTTTCAGCTCTTTTTCAAACCCCCTGAAAAGCATTCAAAACTGCATTCCTACTGAACACCATTCTATAACCCTTACATTAGACCAAAGGTACGAATACTATTAAATTATTATTAAAAACTTACAAGTACAGGCCCTTTTTTTTAATACTACTTTGCAAAGTTAGTTCACTGGGTTTTCTTTTGTCAGCAGGACTACTTAACAAAGCTAAGGTTAATTTAAAGCTACTTAATATCCAACGTTCCTTACCTTCAGAATCTCATACATGTAAAATCGAATATCATAGTCTGTTAACGTCTGGTACAATTGCTGTTAAAAACAAATGTAACAATTCAGTCATGTAATAAAGCTAATAGGCAATTTCTCATCCTTACAGTAATTCAAAGTAAGATTTAGCTCATCTGCCACTGTTTCTAGGCTCAAATATCACTTCTATTTCTCCAACATAATGTTCATTTTGAAGAGGTACTATGAGTTTTCAACTGGGAATGTACAAGTGCAGAAATACTTAATAAAACTTGTATCAGTGAAATCATAATTCACTGTTGGGAGAAAATAATTTATAATTTATTTTGCTTTTCCAATTACTTTCAGATCTTCTTAAAAGATACCCTGGCAAAAATATAACCCCCTGAGGTGGGGAACTAGCCCACTTTCCACAGTACTGCTGATCATCAGTAGGTACGTAGACAGCATGATGCCAAATCTGTGGAGCCACTTTAACAGAACTGTTCCTGTACTACACTGAATGAACTCTGAAGAACTGTTATGTAACCTGTCCAGTTTGTACAGGGCTACAGAATCTTTATTTGTACATATCTTTAAACACTCAATGGTACACTCTGACAGGTTCGTTTTTTTTTTTTTTTATGAAGTTGTCATTCTAATTCTAAAACAATTTCCCTTTTCTTGGGAACAGGGTCTAACCATGTAGTTTAGGCTGGCCTCAAACTCACAGTGATCCTCCTGCCTCATCACTCCCTTTTTCAATAAATGTTCTTCCATTTATTGATACATAACATTCTGAATACTGTTACAAAAGCAAGTCAAATACCTTTATAACTTGTACTCCAAGAAAGTGTCCATATTCTTCTGTTACACTGGAATTAACAGGTGTTTGAAATGAAGTAGGCTACTGAATATGTGCTAGAGCAGAAATTTGACATCATCCTATCCCATTTCTGATCTTTTAAGATCTATAGCACAAAGGACTGCACAATAGTTCAGTGATATCAGTGCTTGTCTAAGCCAGGTGTGGTAGCATACACCTGTAATCCCAGCATATGGGAGGCTGAGGCAAGAGGTTTGCTGCAAGTTTGAAACCAGCCTGGGCTACAAAGTGAACTCAGAGCCAGCCTGAACTGCACAAAGACTCCCTGTCAAAAAATAGTGCTTGGCCTAGCGTGAATAGACTCCTAGGTTCAATTCTCAGTCTCAATGGTGTGGCAGTGGGATTTATAAACCAGTGTTTGTGAGAAATTTTAAGGAATAAGCAGTTTCTACTATTATAAACACAATGTGTTTGTTCTTGAACATCCTTGTCTTAAAATAACTTGCCACACAGCCAGACCCTAGATGAACACATACTGCTGCCTTTATTAGAGTGGACATGTGAAGAAACTTAATGAGTGGCAAAAGTGATTAGAGCTAAATGTAGTAACAAATAAATGGGCAAAACAGTACTATGTGGAAAATGAGAGCTACTTGTACATAAGCTTTTCTATCTTAAGATTCGGTAATGTTAGGATGAAAAGTTCTTTTAAAACAGTGAGAGACACATTCATCCATCCTATCATCCCCATAAATGGTTTTCTAGGTGGCCTAAAAACCCCACAGTTTTAAATATTTGGCTCATACTATACCTTGAAGTCTGTGTTGTTTACATGTTCAAAAACCAGGGCAGGGGTTCGTGACTAGGGGAAAGAAAAACACACACACACACACACACACACACACACACACACACACACACACATATTAGTAATGGAGTCGGCAAGTTTAGCAGATACAATGTTTGCAGATGCTGCATGGCGAATTTGGGGGGCCTCGCCTCAGTAGTAAGAAACCCTCTATTGCTAGAAGCCCTCCCCACTCTGATCAACACCACTTAGGTCATTTTAAGGATGGATTTCAAACAGAAGACATGGAGCTGAAGTCTCACCAGGCTCTAGGCAGCCCAACAATGCACCCATCGCCCATCAGCATCGGACATGAGTTTGCAAAATAGATTAAGACATTTCAGTTTCCAGTGCTATCAGTCTCTTAGCCTAGAAGAATAAGAAATAGTCTGTGGGTCTCTTTGAAAGAAAGACCTAAGCTAGTTTAAATGGTGTATTGGATTAAGCACTTATAAAGCAGGACTTAATGCTGACAGTGGGGGAAACAGCAAGAGGCTAGCTGTATTCTGGGTCCAACACCACCTCAGGCCTTGTGGGCCTTGCTAATGCCTGCAATACTCACCACAGGATCTTTTACAATGTCTGCCAATGTGATGATGTTGGGGCCTCCTCTCAAATTCTCCAAAATCTTTATTTCACGCTTAATTTTCTTCTTTTTAACTGGCTAAAAGGGTAAAAATGTATTAGGGAAAAAAATTTCAGAACATTCCAACAGGTAGTACAATAAATGAAGATGTCAGATATCTTTCTGAATCCCCTTTGCCTGGGAACTTTGCAGATACAAAAGTTAAAGGAAAAAAGATGTCCATTTCAAAGACCAGAGCTAATACACAATTAACATTTCATCTCAATCAACAGTCTTATATGCTGTTTAAAAATTTTACTTACTAGCAATTTAACTGGTTAATAATACTAAGACCTATCGTTAAAAAAACCAAATACAATGAGACATGAGTCCTTTTATTTCCACTTAAGTCTATAATGTTATAGTAGGTGGAGGAAATCAGGGCCAATAGCAAGACAAACAAACTGTCTGTTTAGTATAACCTATGGGTAAAGTGTGGGGTAAAGTGAGGCCTTCTGCTCAGACTGCATCATGCAAATCCTACCATCAACCTGCTTGCTGTGTGCTCATGGATAAATTATATAACTTCTCTAGGCCTTTCACTGTTTGTAAAAAAAGTAGCAAACACATTGCTAGAATCAAATAAAATACCTGAAAAGATTTAAAAAACAAACAAAAACAAAAAACATGGCTGGGACATAACACATATAAAGAGCTGCCTCCATTATCTCCAATACTAAATCCCTTCAATTTAAAAGACTGCTATACAAAGTCAAGCTTGGTGGCACATGCATATAGTCCCAGCAATTTTAGCACTGGGAGGCTAACGCAAGATGATACAAATTTGAGGTCAGTCTGGATTATACAACACCAAGAATAAAAACTAAAACAAATTTAAAAACTCTCAAACTGCTATAAAGAATCTACAGAATGTAATTTCCAAGTTCTTTTGTCTTTATTCGTCTTTTCCACATCTGTTTTGGGATAGAAATCTTTTGTGTTTTTCTGAAGTTCTTGCTTCATCTATACTTGTGCTGGTGCAAGACAAATCTAACACAAGACCTGTGTAATTTTAAGGATTCTAGTTGCCTTATCAAAAAAGTAAAAACCAGCCAGGCGTGGTGGCTCATGTCTGTAATCCTAGCACTTGGGAGGCTGAGGTGGAAGGATCATTGCGAGTTAGAGACGAACCTGGGCTACAAAGTGAGCTCAAGGCCAGCTTGAACTGCATAGCGATACCCGCATCTCAAAAAAAGACAACAAAAGGTCATGAATTTGAATCCCCAGTACAAAAAAAAAAAAAAGTAAAAACCAGTTAGGTGTGGTGGCCACACCTATAATCGTAGCACCAAGGCTGAGGTAGGAGGACTGCTGTGAGTTTGAAGCCTGCCTGGGCTACACATCAAGACACTGTATCTCAAAAAAACAAAACAAAAACCAGAGAAAAGGTTTTTTTTTGGTGGTGCTAGGCATTCACATCAGGGACTATCACATGCTAGGCAGATGCTCTATCACTGAGGTAAATTTTCAATCCCTTTTTAAAAAACTTGAGATACTGTCTCTGTCTCAGGTAGACAAGGTGGCCCTTGAATTTGTGATCCTCATACTTCAGCTTTCTAGAGGGCTGAGATTATAGGCATGTACTACCACATCCAGCTAATCCATAGATTCCTTATCCTTGCTCCTATCAGAACTCAATGCACCGGCTGGAAAGCAAGGTGATCAATTTTCTTTTCTTGCTTCAAGTATTCAGATCTTTCTGATGTGGTAGCCTATTTGAATGATCTTTTGTTCCTTCAGAGACTAACCCATCAACCTATTTCCTACTAAGTTACTACTTCCCAGTAGCTGACTTATGGCAAAAAGCTACTGGCTTATATAACATGTTTACAGAATCCTATAAATTTATAAAGCTGGCTCATGATATGACAGATCAGTCAGGTGATTTACACTCAAACATGATCACTGTAACTTTTCTTACTAGATGAACAGGGAGAGATGAAAAATTTTAAATGTAGTTAATGAAAGAACTTTACCTATACATATATCACCTATTGCATACTTGTAATATACAGTATAGTTAGGGAAAAAAATATTCTAAGTCACCCTTCACTCAAAAACAACAGTAAGTTTCCACCTACCTAGAGGATATATAGTCTTACAATATTTAAGACTGAAAGGAATTGTATGATTAGAATTTTAGGACTTTACCAATTTAATCTCCCTTTTCAAGTTCATCTCTCATTTACAGTCACATGACATCTACAATTCAAGTTTGCTGAGCTTTCAGCTTGCCTGTCTGGGAGGTAACGAATAAAGATGACTTGTCTTAAGCTCCATATCAAATATATAATAATAGTTAATGTATGTAACTAACAAAACCTTACCTCTCATTCTGCCTGAAATCAGTGTAAGAAGCGTTCCCTAACTTCCAACCTCTTCTGTACCACAGACCCACTACATATGTCTTTTATATAGGTATAAATAATATGCTATCTCAGTCTATCATACACCTTTCCATATGAAAACCATGCTATAAATATACAACTTCAGTCTCCAAATATGTTTCCTTATAATAACCCTGAGAGAAGTAAGTAAAAGAAAATTATTTCATTTTCACAGGTAAACTTCCATAGTTAACTGTTTTTAGAGTTTGGATTAAAATCCAGGTATTCTGATTTCCAGCCGAGTGTTCTTTCTATGTGTGATACAAATATTAAGCTCCTTGGTTCTCAAAAGGCATGAGGCATGCTAGCAAATTCATAAGGACACTTGTGGGATATTTTAAAATTGTCAGGAAAATGTACCCATCAATATTTGATATTTGCCAGACACTAAGTGTATTATCGGCTTGAAGCAGTTCATAAGTTCAATTTAGATTGAACTACGTACTCCTTTTGAGGATCTATTTTTATTTTTATTTTTTTAATTTTTGTTTTGTTTTCTGAGTCAGGGTCTCACTATGTAATTCAGGTCAGTCTTGCATTTACTATGTAGACCAGGTTGGCCTGGAACTTGCAGTGATCTTTTTGGCTCAACTTTCTGAATGCTGGAATTACAGGCATGCATTAACACGCCCAGCTGAGAACCTACTTTTATGAAGCTGGGTTTTCAGTAGTTGTTATGACAAATCACAAGTACGTTGCAAAACGAAAACACAAACAAAACAAAAACCAGCCAAAAAGCAAAACAAACAAACAAACAAAAAAGAATGTGTACCAGAAAATGAGTGATGATGTCCACCACAATTCCAAGATCTGAGAAGTTACACAGTGATTAATAGGTGCACATACCTCAATAGTAATTATGGCTACATAAAACAGATTTAGTTTTTCTTTTAATGAAGGTATCTAATTTTAAAAATGGCTATGAAGTTTACATCACAGTTATTTAGCTGTCGTTACTTTAGGTATTTCTTGTGATTCAGGGGTACCATAAAAAATTACTGAGACCAAGAAAGTGCCTAGTTGAAAAGGCTGGAAACTTCTGCCTTTCAGGGTCACTGGGAAAGTTCCTGTGGTAAGAAGCTCTGTGTATTCTTAGTATATGTTCCTAATATATGATGGTATGCAGTGCAGTAATATCTAAATCATAAGCTGTACACTGGCAACCCATTGACAAGATATTTAGTGTCTTTAAAAAAATCTTGAGTCAACATTGAAAAATCAGAGTTCATACAAATACTCTGTTACAAAACACAGCATCAACCCACACTGACTTGCACTGCTACAGGATACCAACAGCTCAAACTGAGAAGCTGCTACCTTCTCCTGAAAGTTACATTCCTATTTGCCTCAAGCCCCATCACTCACTAATCTAAGCATGAACAATTAGAGCAGACTAGCTGCACTGATGTCATCTGCTTCCCTTTTAGAGCCTGTATTTGTGACTCCTCATCCCTACAAAGAAAGGTTATCTTTTATTTATCGAAAATAAAAACAGAATATGATTAAAAATATAAGTGACTAAAAGGACAAATGGAAGTGTTCATACCTTTGTTCCCTTCCTCTACCATGACTTGACTGTATGACTTGAGTCAAATCATTTATCTTGCTTCAATTCCTGTCAGATAGGTACAATCTATTCTTTTTTTTTTTTTTTTTTTTTTTTTTTTTTTTTTTTTTGCTTGTTTTACTTTTGACACAGAATATATCAGTATAGGCTGGCCTTAAAGTTCCTTATGTAGCCCAGACTGGCTTTAAATTTGCTTGGACTCTCCTGCCTCAACCTTCTAAATGCTGGGATAATGAATGAGTACCACCAAATCTAATGCAATCTATTCTTTTGATTTTAGAAGATGATAAAATACAGGGCCTACATGACTCCAAAAAGCTTTTAAATGAGATTTAGTTTTAAGAAGCCTCACTTTTTAAAAAATCTGTATTCTAAATATCTCTGAAATAGTCTCTGTTGTACTCACCTTGAGAATTTTAACAACAACTTTTTCATTATTTGTGATGTTGATGGCTTCAAATACTTCACTGTATTTACCCCTGCCTAGTTTTCGAACCAGCTGGTAGTCATCTTGATTTCTGTGGACAAAAAGTAATAATTACAATAGCATAAGATGTTCAAATGTTTCGCTCTATTTTTAAAAATTAGGCCATTAAAAAATCTGTGTTAAGAAAAATGTGTATATCAAATCCTAGAAATAGAAAAAGTTGTCTTTCAATTACTTCAAACTGCAAATTGCTTACAACACTATTAGCAAACCACACAGAGATTGATTGCTTTCAAACATATGAGCTTTATCTTCTGCTTGCCCTCCAGAGTAAGCTGTAAGGATCATCCATGTAATAGACTGTCAACCATAATACATACACATCATAAACCCTAGTCAGAAGCCCTTTCTTTACTTTTACCCATATTCTGTGCCAATGAATATCAAAGGTCATAGGGATAAAAAATAAGGGAAATGTCAACACTTTGCCTTGTCTCCAACTTAAATGACTTTGCCCTGAAGAATGACAAACTTGGTTTCTTTAACAAGGTTTAAATTCCCTTTACTCTTAGAAAATCCAATATGCACTAAATCAGTCATTATTACCTGTTCTCTGGCAGTTAAAAAGAAACTAAATAGGGCAGGAATGTAACTCAGCTACAGAGCGCTTGCCTAGCATGCATGAGGGCCTTGGGTTTTTTTAGTACTGGGGATTGAACTCATGACCTTGTGCTTGCCAGGAAGACACTTAAGTCGCTGAGCTAAATCCCCCAGCAAGACCCTAGGCTTCAAATCAAGTATAAAAAAAAAAGAGAGAAAACGAATAGAGAATGCAAAAGGCCTAAGAACAATGGTCAATGTAATAATCCTGACAGGTACAGGGGAAGAAATCTTAGTTCTCATTGAGTTCTTCTGCAGAAAACAAGCAAGCAAGCAAATGGTACCATGTCAAAAAACTTTAAGGGGACTATTTAGTGAGTGGCATTTAAGTAGAAGTAAAATAGCACTCAATGTGACAACTGTGATGATATATACAGCTTAAAATTAAGTGTTACCCACAATTCAAAGTCTATGACAGAAAAATTGCTAGATTAAGAACTATTAGGTTATTAAGAGCATTAATATTTATTGATATTGTACCACTGGTTCTTGATGAAATCTTTTAAGGTATACAGTATCTCTTTATGCAAAGACAAAGTACTTACTATATAAGCATCATAGTATAGCCTAGATGAAAAATACATTCTATGGCAATTTATGGAATCTTCAACTAGGCTATGGAGTCATATGTAGTCCTTATAAAATTTGGTGTATAAAAGCTGTATCTGAATTTTCAAATTTTTTTTTGCACTTTAATGTCAAAACACTTTTATCAAGAACAGTATAATCTGATCAAATAAATGCATGCCACATTGGGACACGAAACGTAAACATTCAAATGAGTCTGCACAGAGAATTAGGAGGACAAACACAGCTGTTCAGGCAGACTATAACTGTTCAAGATGGAATTTGGGCTAAATTCCCTTGTCTTATGGTAAAGGCAAATGTTTAAAAGGATTTAATTGTGCTTTTCACCAAAAAGAGGACAGCTTCTTGGAAAACTGTTCCATCTTTTAGTATCATAAGAAAACATTTTCAAATCTAAAAAATACGTAAAAATTTTGTTTTCAAAATTGCTCAAGTAACAATTTTCACCTATCTCCAATATCCTTAATTTGACAGGCAAGCTGATGGGGTTAAATCTTTGTACCAGCTCCACCTCAGAATATATAAATAAGAGAAAAATTTCAGAGATTGGAATGATTTTTAAATGGTAAGCCCCTCAAAACCATTGTTAACCTGCCAAATCAATACTCTGCTTCCTCACGACCGAACAAAACCTACAGCTCAAAAAAAAAACACAGGTTGGGCTCCAACTTTGAGGTTTAAAGAAGCAGAATCAGGGAGATTTACCAGCATAAATTAGTCAACAAACTCAAAAGATTCAGCCCTTTGAATAAGTATAGGGAAGTAAATGGAAACAATTACCCCCATTCCACCACATGTGACTCATAATCCCAGTACTCTCGGGGTCTGTGAGTATTAACATCTGTGTAAACTCTGGCCCTGCTTGGCACGGGTCCCGACATGTCAGACAGGTTGGCGGACAAAGCTGAACTTGATGTCTGATGATCTGTCAAACACTGTATTCAGAGGCAGCTGGGAGGTAAGATTTGTTTCAGACTTGTTTTCTTCAAACTGCAGAAACAAAATGCAAAAGGCCAAGAAATTATTTAAGTAGATGAGAAGATTTTTTTTCCCCCAAATAATACCAGTCTCAAATATATATTACTTTCTGGGGGTTGGGGATTTAGCTCAGTGGCGTAAGCGCCTGCCTTGCAAGCCTGTGGTCATGAGTTTGATCCCTGGTACCAGTAAAAATACACACACACTATATATATATAACTTTCCTACCTGCTAATCAATGACTGTACCCCAACTATATCAATTTAATATTTCCTATTAAGGGAAGGGAAGATATATTAAAATTGGTGTCAGTGCTAACCATATTTTTGCAAAGCAGTCTCTAACTTCTGCAAGGAATGTTTAGATGCTCTTTGTAAGGTAATCTGGAAAGTAAAAATGGCATTGGGGATAGATGTCTCAGGATTACCAAAATTATTTACCCATTCCACAAAAGATATTGTCAACAACGATACTTTCCTTTCAATAGGAGCAAAGGCCAACAGCACAAACTGCCAGTCTAATTTGAGTATGTGATGAAATGGGAAGGAAATAATGACTTGCTCTCATATATATTTAATGCTATCTTACAATGCTCTAAATCATTTAAGGGACCTTATGTACTAATGTGTAGACACTTAAATATCAAAAATACAGTTGATTTCATTCAACTTAAAAGTAAAAAGTACTAATTTTAGTTACTTAATATAAAAATGAGCTAAACAAAAACTGGTATCAGAAGTCATACATATTAGCTGACCTGATTAATCTTAAAAGGATTAGTAAATTAAATTAAGACTGAGGCAAAGCCGGGCATAGCGGCAAATGCCTGTAATCCCAGCACTGGGAAGGCTGAGGCAGCAGGACTGCAGTGAGTTTGAGGTCAGCCAAGGATACGAGATGAGTTCAAGGCTTGCCTGAACTGTGTAGTGAAACCCTGTCTCAAAAAGACCATAAAGCCTGAAGGAAACCTAGAAAAAGTTTAGAAACATAATTTCAATCAATTTTTCTCCAATAAGCATATGCTACCTTGACTTCAAATTTTTTTTGTCATTGCTCTCCGATATTCTTGCAGTTTTAGCTGATTGTGTTTACTGTGCATTTAATTTAAAATGTATTGAGCCTTCAAGTAGTACTCTGAGGAGGACATCTATCACCTATGTAGTTTTCTGGTTCAGAATAACCCTCGATTTAATCGTTAACAAACACCAGACAGACAAATGAGCAAGTTTATTACTATCTTTTTAAGACAAGGTCTCACAGTATAGTTCAGGTTTACCTCAAGTGGCAATACTCCTGCCTTAGCCTATGTGGTAGTGAGATTACTGTTGTGCTACTCTGTCTGGATCTTAAAGGGTGTGTGTGGGGATAGGGGGAAGGGTTAGCTTGTAATCCCAACTTTCAGAAAACTGAGCAAGTAGGATCAAAAGTTAACAGTCCGTGCGCAGGTGTGATGGCACGACCTGTAATCATAAAAACTTAGAAGGCTGAGGCAGAATGACTGCCTTGAGTTCACAGCCAGTCAGGGGTACAGGACTTCAAGGATAGTCTGAACCAGACAGATCCTGTCTCCCTCCCCACCAAAAGATGGGTTATGGTGGTGGTGGGGTCTATAGTTTTAAAAAATATCAACTATCACATCAAAAAAGACTAAGGGAGGCTAAAAAGATAGAATCAAGACAATTAAATGCAATACCCTACTTACTGCAGACTATCCTTACTGACAAAACTGGAATTAAAATGGCAGACTAAAGTAACATAAATATAAAACGGTAAATTAGCACATAATCTTAGTTAAGAGAACATATCTCTGCCTAAGAAAATTGTCTGACTCACAAGTAAATAAGAGGATGATGTATACAACACATCCTTAAATTAAATGTTCAGGATAGAAGTGTGCCCATATGTACATACATATGTATATACAGTGTACACACAAAAGCACATTCACAAATGATAGAACAAAAGGGGTAATAGGTAAATTTAGGTTAAGGGATATAGATGTTCTTTGCCCTATACTCATTTATATATTTGTTGAAACATTTAAAAAAATTATATTAAAATATACATAAAATGAAATTTGCTATTTTAACCATGTTTAAGAGTATAGTTTAGGGGCTGGGGATTTAGCTCAGCGACATGAGCGCCTGCTTTGTAAGCAGGCAGTCGTGAGTTCGATCCCTGGTACCGATAAAAATGAAAAAGACAAAAAAAAAAAAAAAAGAGTATAGTTTAGGGCTGGGGATTCAGCTCAATGGTTTAAGTGCTTGTCTGGCAAGCTTGAGGCTGTGAGTTCAATCCCTGGCACCAAAAAGAAAAAAAAAAAAGGAGTATAGTCTAGTGGCATTGAATATACTTACAATATTGTGCAATATCACTAAACAATCTAGTTCCAGAAATTTTCACTCAAACAAATTCCACATCCATTAAAACACTATCTCCCAGATATCATGAGGCATTATGGTAGCTGTTGTTGATTTTCTATTATCTTGTTTTGAAGTCCTGTATTGTGCTTGTTGTTTTGTTTTGATGGGCTTTGTTTCGTTTTTTTGTTTGTTTTACTCTTTAAAATAAAAATTTAAAAAAATCACTACCTCCCCACACTCATTTATAATGCTATTTTCTATACACTAAGTTTTTGGTGCTTACAATTTTTGTCACTTTTGGGTAGACCATCTTTTTTTTTTTGTCGTACCAGGGACCAAACTCACAACCTTGCACTCGTCAGGCAGGCACTTATGCCACTGAGCTAAATCCCTGGCTATTTTCTATATCCTGTAGTTGACTATTATAGGTAGCTCATCCATGTAGAGTAAGATACCATCTTGTCCTTTTACATTTGGTCTATTTAATGTCTTAAGACTCGTCCATTTTGTAATATGTCAGAATTTCATTCCTTTTCAAGGCTGAAGAAAATTCCAATACATGTAAAATGCCACATTTTGCTTACCCATTCATTTATTGATCTGGGTTCTTCTGTGTTAGCTATTGTGAAAAATGCTGCTATAACAATAGAAATGTTCTAAAAGAAGAAGTGGGGACACAAACAAATGAACTATAAAAGCTATAAATAATAATCACATAAATAATCCAGGAGAATTTCCCTAATTTAGCAAAAGGTAAAGATACTCAGATGTATGAGGCATACAGGACCCCAGCCACCTACCACCCAAACAGAGCTACACCCAGGCATATAATAAATTCCAGAAATTCAATATAAGAACAAAATATTAAAAGCTGTCAGAGATAAGAAACAGATCACTTACAAGGGAACACCCATCAGAATTACAGCAGACTTCTTGGCACAAACCATCAAATCATGAAGAGCATGGGGGGAAATAATTCAAACTTTGAAAGATAATAACCTCCAGCCAAGATTGATATATCCTGCACAACTGTCCCTAGAAATTGATGGAAAAACAAGATGCTTCCAGGATAAAGAGGAACTAAGGGAATTTGCAACCACCAGTTCAACTCTACAGAGAATATTGCAGGATATTCTAAAAAAGAAAAATACCAAGATTCCAAAAACAGTGGCAGAGAGGCCAGAATGAATGGAGCAGAAAGCGAAATGAAGACAAACTGACAACAAATGACAGAAAAAGAGCTCAACAGAAATGAGGCAGAGAAGGTTGGATGGTAGGAACAGCTATTTTGGAGAAAACAAGACATCATAATAGCTAGTGCTGATTTAATATCATCTTGTTTTGAAGTTCCATCAAGCTTTTGTTCTTCTATCTCCATAGGTCTTAACATGTTGTATCTTACTGGATTTTATTATATGTGATAATATAAACAAAAACTTTTATATACAAGGAAATTATACAGAAACCATTGTTCATTTTCTGTTAGTTGATTCTAAGTACCCTGTAATACTGTCATTCCCTTGAATGGTTTTACATTGTCTTGATATGTTTGATGCTACAGTATATACGAAGTTATACTCAAAGATTTCAAGGAAAGAGACACTATGGTAACTACTTTTATGTCGGGATTATCTTGTGGTGAAACACTATTTTGCTTAAATGGTTATGTTTTGACCTGCACTGTTTTGTTGTTATGTCCTCTTTTATCTCAGTCTCCTTTTTTAATTACTTTTTTATTTTTATCCTTTTAATTAAGGGAAAAATAAAAAATAGCAGGATATATTATAGTAACCCACTTTGATTTCCTATTAAACTTGATTTGAAACCCTGTATTGCTCTCACCATCTTGTTTTGACTGATCTTCCTCTATTCTGTTTTGCTTGATAGTACCAAGTTCGAAAGTATAGACAACAACTGTGAAGACAATAAGATTCATTATGACACTCATTCTGGTTGACTATTATCTTCTTTTGAAGACCTGTAATGTCTCCAATGTTTTGGTTTTATTGGTTTTGTTCTTTACTGTTTTGTTCAATTTTATTATGACTGATGATATAGGCAATCCTTTTTAAGATAGCAAGAGGCATTATGGTAACCACTGTTGATCATCTTGTATTATGTTTTTACATTATATATTATGTCCATCCTTTTGATTTGACTGACTCTGTTCTGTTATGTCACATTTGGTTTTACTCTCTTCAAAAACAGTAGTAAGAACTGTGGGAGTAATAAAACTCAAAATGTGTAGTTGTCATTGTACAAAAGAGAGGAAAAGAAAGTGCTCTAAAGGAGTACTTTAGAGCATGTATATTTAAGTGTATAAGATAGATAACCATATTACTGAGTTTTGTGGGATCACTGAACAGAACTGTTTGCATTCTCACTGTTTGAATGTCCACTTTATATGCTTTAATTTTGTAACTTGAACAACTATTTCTAAGATGACAATATGTAATGTATTAACTAGTGATTTCCTACTGTTTATATTTTCTGAAATTCTGTATAACTTGTACCCTTTTTCTGCTTTTTTTTTCTCCTTAAATAAAATTAAAAAAAAAAAAAAACAATAGAAATGTTCAAGTATCTGTTGGTTTTTTTTTTTTTTGGTACCAGAAATTGAATTTGAAACCTTATGTCTGTCAGGCAGAT